CTGGTGTATATATACCAGCATCAAGATTAATTTGTACCTGTTCACAAATCATCTTATCCTCATTTGTAATTTCTAATGTTCTAATCATTGCTTGTTTAGCTTCTACAATTCGATCTTTCATCTGTGATTCATCAGAAGTTGAACGTATAAAAAAATCATAAGATATCATTGTTCGATCTTTACCAATTGGAAGAATATGTTCAATACTATAACCTTTTTCATATAAATTAATTGCTAAATTAGGATAAATATAAACCCAAAGAAATTTTTCTTGATCATTTTCTGTATTACGTGAAGGAGCATAATGAATTGAATATGTATTATTTTTATTTGTAACTAAATATTGTTTTGATTGAACAGCATTATTAAGTTCTGGATGTACACCATGAATATGATATCCTTCTTGATAATTTTCAACATAAGTTTTCCAATTACAATTAATTAAATGATATTGACTATTAAAATGAAGATATTCTTTAAGAGGAAAAGACATCATATCATTTAATAAATCATATAATAATGTATTAATTGATGCTTTTTCTTTTATATCAGATAAATTAACAAAAATGAATTGTTCAGCAAAAATTTCTATATTAATTTTCTTTAGATTTAAACATTTTTTTTCGTCTCCTTGAAATTTATAATCAAAATGTGGTGTTGCTTTTAATTTACCATCACGAGAATCATATAACCATGCATGATATTGACATTTAAGTAAAGACTGATTTCCATAAAGTGCAACACCATAATTATTCGAATTTATTGGTACAATTGGACCTGCTCGATGAGAACAAACATTATGGAAAGCAATTAATTCATTTGTCAAAGGACTACGATATATAAATATCGGATAACCAGCAATAGTGATTGATAAATAATCACCTAATTTTTGTAATCTATCACAACGACCAGCATAAATCCAATTGTTTCGAAAAATATATTCACGTTCTAGTTGATAAACAGAATTATCATTATAAAGATATGGAGGTAATGGACGAGAGAGTATTTTATTAGGACTAGTTGTTGTTAATTTTCGTATAAAAGTTTTTTGTGTACTAGTGATAAGTAATGGACTATATTTCTTGAACAAATTTTTAGCGGAAACAATAAACATACGATTCATTGTGTAGATTTATTTTAAGCGTAAGAAATTCTATTTACATCAACAGTTATATTATGATAACTTAAATAAATATAACTAAAAAGTAAGTTATCTACACGTCAATGTCCACTTCATTATTTATGATAAGAGCAGTTTTTTTAATATGTTTTTAAATAAATCAAAACTAATAAGAATTTCGGTTCAGTTGAGTAACATTTTCAAATCCAGTATAATGCGTTAATTTTATTCATTTTTCTGAACGAATAATATAAGAGTTTCTTTCAAATGAAGATGTTGTTCGATAAGATATAGAGTAAAATCATTATAATGAGTTAAATCCAATCAATATATAATTATCTGTAAGAAGTTAAATAATTGAGTTACCACCATGATGTATAAAAGTTATTTTCATATGATCAACAGGAAATGATATTGTTTAACTGAGAATCTTGCCATTCAACAGATCTATTACAGTCTTCAAACATTATAAAATAGAATAGATTTAATCAACTATAAAAATTTGACATAATACAAATGGTTCTCAAGTCTAAACATGAGATCTTAACAAAAACAAAGTTTTAATAACTTTATATATAAAAGCGTTGATTCTGCTAAAGTGAAGATAAAGAAAGTCAATGAATACTTAAATACCAGATGTCGCGTATGGATGTCACTGAAACATTTTTACAAAATTGATTTAGATTACATGATATTTTATTTGTATTCATTGTTCATTTCCTATCGATGATAAACAAGAATAAGATCCGATCTTATTCGATTGTTTGATTTAGAAAGTAAACAAGTCAATCATACACTCTACGTAGCTGAATTATTCCTAGAATTAGCACATTGTAAAAGACTATATAAATATCTTGATTATTTTATAGTTAAACAACAAATCAAAAAAAATAACGATTTCATCATTTATCTTACAATTGTAGAAATATCAAAAGATTTCTTTGACTTTTCAAAATAAGTATTCATAACTATTATTTATTTATTTATTCTATACATCAAATTTAATCAAAAATCTTCTTCATCTTCGTCTTCTTCATCTTGCCAAACATGATCAGGAGAATAAGGAGATGGAGGCTGATCTCCTTCATCTGATGAATATTGATGAGCATCAGAATTATCTCGATTCGATTTTTGTGTTAGATGATAACGATCAATTAATTCACCAGAATCAAGATTAATTGTTTTATCTATTCTCCTTCGTTTTTTATCCTTTGATTTTTGTTCAACATCATTCAAGTTTATATCTGGATCATCTAGTGTACATATCGGAGGATCATTTGTTGTCGTCAATGGCCAAAGTTCAGATTTTTGTGTTTTTCTGCTAGACATAGAAGATATTGCTATATTTCCGGAGCACTCCTAAAAACAGAT